GTAAAATAGATCAGTGACAATGGTTCAAGTAAGTACAGAACTGGAGTTACAGTGATTGTTGTGGTAATGCTGTTCCACAGGGGTGTGCCAAATTGTGAAGTGCCACGATAGATTTGGGTTACTGTTTAGGAAGTTAATTGCGTGACGGAAGAAGCTGTTTGAATGTCTGCTGGATTTGGTGCGCATGGATCGGAAGCACTTGCCTGAGGGGAGTAGCTGGAAAAGGTGGGGGGTCCAGGAGGATTTTACATGCCCTTGTCTTAGTTCTTGCGGTGTGCAAGTCCTCAAGAGTGGGTTGGGCGGTGCTCATGATTTTTTCTGCCGTCCTAACTGTCCGTTGTAGTCGGATTTAGTCCTTTTTTGTGGTGGACCCAAACCGTGATGGAAGAACACAGGATTGATGAGATGACTGCTGTGTAGAACTGTCTTATCAGCTCTTGTGGCAGGCCATGCTTCCTCAGCAGCCTCAGGAAGTACATCCTCTGCTGGGCCCTTTTTAGGATGGAGATGGTGTTGACTTCCCACTTCATGTCCTGGGAGACTGTGATTCCTAGGAACTTGAAGGTCTCGACGGTTGACACAGGGCAGATGGATAGTGTGAGGGACAGCTGTGGCAAAGGATGTTTCCTGAAGTTCACGATCATCTCTGCCGTCTTGAGCGTGTTCAGCTCCAGGTTGTGTTGGCTGCACCGGAGCACCAGCCGCTCCACTTCTTGTCGGTACGCAGACTCGTCGCCATCTTTGATGAGACCGATGACTGTGGTGTCATCTGAGAACTTTGAGTTTGACATGCTGGGTTTGTTGAGGTGCAGTCGTTTGTGTAGAGGGAGAAGACGTAATCTCGGGGGGCCCCAGTGCTGATGGTGAGTGTTGATGATGATGTCCTCACCTGTTGTTTCCTTCCCGTCAGGAAGCTGAGGATCACTGGCAGATTGTAGGGGACACACCGACCTGGCGAGGTTTGGAAGCGAGGAGTTCCGGGATGATGGTGTTGAACGCAGACCTGAAGTCCACAAACGGGACCCTTGCGTAGGTCTCTGTGCCGTCTAGGTGCATGAAGATGTAGTGCAGCCCCATGTTGACTGCATCCTCTACAGACCTGTTTGCCCGGTAGGCAAAATGTAGAGGGGTTCGATGACGTTCTTTATGTGGTTCAGCACAAGGCGTTCAAAGAATTTCATCACCACAGACATCAGAGCGACAGTTCCGATGTTGCTGGTTTCTTGGGAACTGGGATGATGGTGGACTATTTGAAGCAGGATGGGCCCTCACACAGCTCCAGAGATCTGTTGAAGATTTTTTTTTGAAGACCGGAGCCAGCTGGTCAGCACAGACTTTCAGGCAGGAGGGGGACACTTGTCGGTTCCTGCGGATTTCTTAATCTTCTGCTGCTTCAAGAGCCGTCTCACATCCTGTTCATGGATCTCCAGGGCAGGGGATGAGGGCGGGGGTGTGGATAGGGTAGGTTCTGGTAGAGGTGGGCAGGTGTGGAAAGTGCAAAAGAACATGTTTAGCTTGTCAGCCAGTCCGTTATTGTGCACTGCTTGGGGAGATGGTGTCCTATAGTTTGTAACTGATTTCAGGCCATTCCAGGCAGATGCAGAGTCATAAGCAGAAAACTGTTTTTTTCCAGCCTCTCTGCATAACTTCTCTTTGCGATGTTAATTTCCTTTGTCAATTGGTTTCAGGTGTGTTTGGACAGTGCCCTATCTCCGCTTCCAAAGGCGGCCTCTGTCTTTTCTAAGTTGCATGAGTTTGGCAGTGAACCATGGCTTGTAAAAGGAGCGGAAGGACTTTGTTGCTCATCAGACAGCAAATTACCAGATTCATTCAGTAAATTGGGAATGTGATTAATTCCTTTTTCATGCCATTTAAGAAGAAATTAAGACTTTTTTCCGACAAGTATTTTAGCGTTGTTGCAAAGTCAAGTTTTATGATCTGAAAAGTTATGGACAAAGGCGAAAACGCATGAAAGAAGAGTGGGTTTTCATCTGTCCCTTTAATTGTCTCTTAAGTATGTGTGTCGAAAGGCAAAATAACAAGGCCAGAGTGTAGTCAAACACTGTATTTTCTGAACAAACTATTAAAAAGCACACTCTTTCTCATCTCAACAGAATTTTTATAGCAACGCTGCCACCTGGCATGAGACTTGATTTTTAGTTTGCGTGTGTGCGTGTGCGTGTGCGTGAGTGTGTGCGAGAGAGAGAGAGAGAGAGAGAGAGAGAGAGAGAGAGAGAGAGAGAGAGAGTGCCATCAAAGTGCACTTATGTCTTGCGAATATGGGTCAATCAAAAAGAAAGTGTTGAATTGTTTTATTGAGAGATGTAGCATGCTAGAAATTACATGGAATGGAAATGGCTAAGAATAATTAGAGTTCAGCGTGAGAAGAGGGCAGACTCCTCTCACCTTAAAGTGTATATGCTATATATTTAAACAAATGGGATACACTGACTGATCAGTTATCACTTTTTACTTTAGGTGTGTTTTGATAGAATTGGAATAATGTGGGGCATTGTTGTCAATCAAAATAGTCATTTGGAGAAGGCCTGTCACAATAATGTCGGTGGACACGTCTGTATCCGCACTGAACAGGAGAGACTTTGAGCAACATGGTGTGTGACATCGACTTTGGGACGACCTGACAGTGTGAGGAAATACTTGGATAGTGAGGCTGACACTTGTGCCTTCCACTGGGTTCAGGGGGACAAATGTGACCTGTTGTTTTGTTTTGTTGTTTAACTTGATTTTTAGTGCAGTGGGACTTCCCACTGCAGCTGTAGGAGCAGAAGGTGGCATGTTTATATATCTTTCATTTATTCTCCACGTTGTGGATCACATTCTGGTGTATTTACATCTTGCATATGTCAAAATTTGTTCACCTCATCATTTAGTTTTTCATTTTATGTTAATTTAGAATATAAATATTGGACTAATTTTTATACTTCGGACTCTGCAGGTTGCCGTTCCTGCAGTGTGTGATGTTTGATTTGTTTGATGTGTTGGCCTTCTGTAGGCGGTTGCGCGTTTAACATAATTATTATTTTTTATTTAATATTGCACTGCTGTTTCATATGTCAAGCAGGCTGCAGCATTGAAATTATTTTGTGATTGCTGCCATGTGGGTTGTTTTCAGTTGAATTTGAGGGTTCTTCCGAATGACTATCCGAAGTTGGAGAGGCATCTGCATGATGAGCTCGCGGTTGGTGTGCCAATCAGGCAGGATGCATTTGCAGTTTTTTAAATTTTATTTGCGCTGACACGTGACCCGCATGGATGGAATGTGCTCTGAGAACTAATTCGATGGTCATATGATATGGACATCAGGATTTTAACAGGACCATTTGATATCATTTGAGGGTGACGTGGACTCTGCATCGCTTGAGAAGAAGACAAGTGACCAGGCCTGAAAATCTTGTTATTCAGAAAGGCCAACAACTCTTCACAATTAGTATGATTTGAACCATGTCCTTCCTCTTTGAACATAATCAGATCTTTCCCAGTGTAGGAGAGAATGTTAATTGTATTTTGAGTTGACCATCTTGCTCTGGAAAACACATGGATGGGTGACCCTGCCCCCCTAAAGGCTTTTAGGGGATATCAAAACACAAAGGTATTTTATGTGTAAGCAATGCATATGTAATAAGTAACTATGATCATTCATACCACTCCCTATAAGAAGACAGGCACAAGAGAGTGGGAGTGTGCATCGCATTTCAGAAGACTTTGACATCAGCATGTGACCAAAATAAAAATCTATACTCAACCATAATGGCTGGGTCAGAGAAGTTGATTTCCGTCAAAAATCCCGGCTCAGTCAGTGGCCATTCCAGAGGGATGCCGGCAGGGACCAGCTCCTCAATGAAAATACACTTCAACTAGAGCATGTTGTCTTTGCTCGTTTATTTACGATGCTCCCTTTATGACCAAGGAACATCTCACGGTCCTTAATTGTTTCAACTTTTAAGTTCATTGTCCCAGCCACAGAAACACACCCCCTTCATCTTATCACCGCCGTTCTGTCTGACTCTCTGTCAGCAGAGACGTCACACTTCATGAATGGACCATTGAGCAAACACTGTGTGCAAGCAATACTGTGTACAAGCAATACTCATAGTACTGTAGTACATAATACTATCATGTCTTATTATCTTATTGCAATTGCTTTATTTTTACAGATGCCATACACACATTATATTTTTTTATTTATATATATATTATTACATACACTCTAGAGGGCCTCACAAAAAGTGCTCTTTTAAATTTTCACAAAATACAGACAAATATGCGCTCTTAATATATTTCATTTTTTGGGAATACATTTTCATGTCTAAAACAGCCACTGCCCGAACATACTGTAATATTTCTTTTTCTAATGCAAAGGGCTCTCATGCTTCAAAATTACCGTTGAAGGACAGCACAAAACCGGCTGAACAAGAAACCAACATTAAGTGCAAGAACTCATTTTCTATATTTTGTCACAAGAATTAACTCACTCAAAATTCTAATATTGCTCAGGTACCATGTTTCTCCAGCATATCATTCCAAATCCACAAAATGTTACTAGGCCTACTCACATTGTAATAGAGAGCAGTAAAAGTGCAACATGTCTGCCATCAAGTGGTGACTAGTGGTATTACAACTTTAAACTACCGTCAACCACTGTATTTTTGGTGCCCATGATTCACAAATCTGTTTTTTTTTCTTTTCTTTCAATTTTTTTTTTTTTTTTGAGATTTGCCCATTTTCCGTGGAAAACGTATGTAGAATGTTTATCAGAGTGAATCACCCCTCAGTGATGTAATTCACCCACATTTGGCGAGTGCTAATGGTGCACTCTGCACTGAACAATTGGTTATTTTTTGTGAAAGATTGCCTTTTTTTCCAGTACATAAATATTGGTCATGGATGGCCATAATTGCAAAATATAAATGTTTTTTGTCATCTAAAAGTTTAATTTAAACCCCCAAATGCTAAAAGTCAGTTTTCCCTCAAATGCATTTAAGTTACCAGTAATCTAGAAATGTATACATTTTGGAAAGAACGATGTTATATGGTCATTCACTCAGTTTTTTTTTGTTTGTTTGCTTTTTTTAATTATTATTTTGCAGGTGGGGTTGGATTCTGTTCATGCTTGATTTAATGATTGTTGTGTTTGGACCTCTTTGAGGCCAATGAGAACAACGATTTAGTTGGACGTTGTGAAGGGGTGTGTTGGAATGCTTCTTGGAATTGGATTTGGGGGAGAAGGTTATCAGCAACTGATAAGGGCCGCATTTAAAAGGCTGGCTAGAGAAAAGAGTACTTGATACTGTCAAACAAGAACAAATAGCAGAAACCAGATAGGATCAGGGATCTTGAAGAATCATGCTTCTGCTACATAAGGTCAATATATTAGTCGCTAATTTATTTGTTGTGGTAGCATTTGTTGATATAGCACTTTCAAACATGGAATCCCCCTTACACAACAGCTGGAGCGAGACAGTTCGCTTTCGGCACCTGTATGCTGCCAGGGCAGGAGTACATCTGATGATTCATGAAGATGGTCGGATTCTCAGCTCGGCCGATCAAAGTCTGCATAGTAAGTAATGTGTCCATAATTTTAATGTGCAGAATGCGGTGTTTGCCAATAATATCGCTCATGACTTCTGCTTCTACTCTCTTTATTAAATGTGATTAAAAGGCCTACTGGAGATTCGCCCTGTGGATCCAGGCTGTATTGTCATCAGAGGCATTGAGACTGCACAGTTCCTTTGCATGCATGGTGATGGAAAGCTGTACTCATCGGTAAGTAAATTCTTCTACACCCGATGTGAAAATTCCCAGTGTTTCACATGTACAGTCATTTGGCTTAAGAGTTTTCTTTTATGCCTGGAACACAAAAAACAGTTTTATTTGTATGACGTTGAGATTTTGTTTGTTGTTTGTATGTGCTTGAAAGTGAACGGTCAGCTGTCTAGTGTATATTTACCCAGCAATTGACTGGTGTGGAGTACAGTGTGTCCCCCACCTCTTGCTCAAAGTCAACTACGATAGGCTCCAGCTTACCCATGAGCCGAATGAGGACAAGTGTTAAAGAAAATGGATGGAAGTTAAACAGGTCCATGTAAACAACTGGTGTATGCTGGGAGTAGGCTGGGCTATCAACATGTTAGACAATGGCAGATCATGATATTTCTCCCACATTCTATATACATGCAGGGTAGGTTTATTGAAGACTCTAAATTTCCCATAGGTGTCAATACGAGTGTGAATGGTTATTTTCTTTTTATATCCCCTGTTATTTAGGTTGGGCGATATGGCTGAAAAGTGTATCACGATACAAATATTCCATATTTTTCGAGGTATGTGTGTGTGTGTGTGTGTGTGTGTGTGTGTGTGTGTGTGTGTGTGTGTGTGTGTGTGTGTGTGCGTGTGTGTGCGCGTGTGTTTGTGTGTACTTTTTCAACTTTCTACTGTTGTGAATAAGAACCCGGAGAAAAAAAAGACAGAATTTAGGTAATTTTATTTTAGCATATAATCCTTAACTGTAAAACTACTACGGGTCAATAGAAAGATTAAATAAATGGCTTTTGAAACATAATATGCTTAGTGGAGCTGGGTGATATACTGGAGCTGAAAAATGTTTCACAAAAAGTATTTTATTTCAGTCGGTGGCTCGGCATGCACTAAACACACGTGATCACGCATCAGTGAGTGTCGTGCGAGCGCGAGACAAAAGACGCTGCATTCAAAGATCTATACTGGTATCGTTTAAAGACATCGGCGCGTTATTTGTTAGTACTTGCAGATACTGATGACAGCATCAGGGCCCCTCTTGATACCAGTATCGGTATCGGTGCAGCATTAATTCTTACAGATTATCTTTTTTTTTTTTTTTCTTTAACAACTCATTTAAAATGAGAGAAACCATTATTGAGTAAACAAAAACAATTCATTGGATGTAATTAAAGCAAGCACGATGATCAAGAGGAAAAAAAAATTATTAAAAAAAATATCTGGCAGTAAAAGTAATTTTCAAGCACTCTACACTGTTGTTGACATTGTAATGTAGTGAATGTTGTGAACATCCATGCTCCTCCACTCGCGCAACGTAAATGCTTATTGGTGGAAGACACTACCCTAAAGCAGTATCGTTATGCAGTTACATGTAGCTTCCTTCGCTGGTGATACAATGTAAGTGTTGCGAACTAACACTCTCTTGGAGTGCATGCATTAGAGTTGACCATTCATCTCAGGGCAACTTCATCTTTTTAGCTGGTTCATTATGCCATAGGACATCTTATACACCAGAGCAAGCAAGCCCTTTACTGCTCCACCATATATCCATCCGCAGGTGTTAGCATGCACAATATACAGTCATCTTATTGCAAGAGTTGCACTGAGGCGACTGCTAATTTATTCATACAAAGTTAAGTTTTAAGTCATACTTTTATTGTATTCAGCATGCGTACATGCACACACTTCTTCGGTGGCTCTGTATGTCTGTCTTGGCTTGTTAGGTGGACAAGGTTCACTGTAATGGTTTTTGCGCACTGAAAACACACATTTGTTCCTCCAAATTTCCTCTGCAGGTCCTTGTAATTGTGGCACAAATCTAACATCATAATGTAGCCTCTGCTGACAGCGTGCAGAGTGCCCTGATCGGGGTTCCTGTCCTGATTTATTATTATTATTTTTTATATGGATATAATATTGAGCGGGGTGGCCCGGTGGTTGACTGGTTGGCATGTCGGCCTCACAGTGCAGAGGTGCAGGGTTGGATTCCGGCTGCGGCCTTCCTGTGTGGAGTTTGCATGTTCTCCCCGTGCCTGCGCAGGTTTTCTCCGGGTACACCGGTTCTCTCACTCATTCCAAAAAACATGCATGACAGGTTAATGAAACACTCTAAATTGTCCCTAGGTGTGAGTGTGAGCACAGATGATTGTTCGTCAATGTGTGCCCTACGATTGGCTGGCAACCAGTTCAGGATGTCCCCCGCCTGCTGCCTAAAGTCAGCTGGGATTGGCTCCAGCACGCCCCGTGACGCTTGTGAGGATAAGCGGATCAGAAAATGGATGGATAATATTGAACACAATTTCTATTGATATTGATTACGCATCTCTTGTGATATATATAGAAATATCACCTAGCCTTACCTGTGATTGACTGGATACCAGTCCAGGGTACACTGTGCCTCTCCCCCGAAGTCAGTTGGGTTACGCTCCAGCTCTCCTGCAATCCTAATGAGGAAAAGTATGATAGAAAATGGCTGACTGGATGGATTGGTACACATAGCACTGTCGTGAAAACTGGCACATGGAAGAGCAACTGCTGTAACCAAACACACAAGGCGTGAGGCAATGAAGCACAGGTGGAACATCGGAGGGCATTGTTGAAAATCAACAGGGAGGGGCACGCATGAGGGCCGGGCGAGGACCCTGAGATGACAAATGTAAAAAATAAACAATCTGTCACTAAGTCCACAATTAATATAAAAATGACCTTGAAAAGGAACAGAAATTAATCAGTGGAGATTTGGTGTCTGGTTCATGTGCACCTGCTGCATCTTTGTCATGTCAACATTTTCAGAAGCAAATATTGAATCTTTGTCTGCTCAAATCATACGATTTCCAAATGAGGATTACAAATGTGCCGTGGTTGATTGCTGCTCACCATTTTTCTCTCTTTACATGTCACAAAACTGTAAACGTCTGTCTTCAGACATCACCAGACGTCCAGTCATTCATTTCAAACAGATGTTTGGTTCATCGGCCTTTGTCCATTTTTGTAAAGGATGGGATATGTTTACAGAACGAAAAACCTGAATGAAAAGTGCCAGCAAAAACAACCTTGGTCTCGGAATAGAGAGCTCCGGCCAAGACAAACAGATGTCGAACAACTGAAAGAACAGCAGCATTTCAACGTCTTGTTTATTTATTTAATCGAAAGGTCTTATTTGTCAAAAAAAGTCAAGCATATTTGATCACTCCTGAGAACAAATAACCCCATCTATTATAATCCATAACTTTCATTTAATTTAACTGAAACTCAATCTTCATTTGCTACCCGTTCCTTTTTTCACCGGATACTGACTTTGTTTTCTCTTCCAACAACTATATTACATGCAACATAACTAATTCGTGATATTTTTGTTGTTTTTTGCAAAAGTTAGGTAGCACATGACAATAGACAATTATGAAGTGTTTTGTAATCCAACACTAATGCAGTATCCCGAAGAATAATGATTCAGAAATGAAAGGGCCAACCCGATATCTACAAATCAACGGACACCAGCATGTGCTTTTTTTCCACTCACTTTATGGCACTTCAGTAGCTTTTGTGTGATTCAAGGTAAATATGATTAGCATGTTACAGCTTGTGTTTCAAATTTGACTATAAAGCTTATCTTGTCCTGCCCCCTACCTATAACCCAATTCCTTATCTACATGTATAAACAACATGCGTGTTTGTGGATATAAATGTGCACTTACATATCCATCCGTCCATTTTCCGATCCGCTTTATCCGCGAGCCTATCCCAGTTGTCTTCGGGCAGCAGGCGGGGGACACCCTGAACTGGTTGCCAGCCAATCGCAGGGCACACATATACATACATCCATTCGCGCCCACACTCGCACCTCGGGACAATTTAGAGCATGGTGTCACACTAAAGGCCCGGGGGCCAGATGTGGCCCGCCACATCATTTTAAGTGACCCGCGAAAGCAAATAAACGATGACAACTTCCATGGTGCTTGGTAAAATCTGCATCAAAATTTCAAATTTTCACATGTAATAAAACAGTGACATATTGTAAGCATTTTATTGTTACCAAACGCTTCATTACACTTAAACAATAATTGAATTAATTGTTATTCTTGACTTCTTTATATAGTTTCAGTGATCACAGCCCTCCAAGGGAAACGGTAATTAGAATGTGGCCCGCGATAAAAATGAATTTGACAATCCTGATTTAGAGTGTTCCATTAACCTGCCAGACATGTTTTTGGAATGTGGACTTCCAACTTGTAGAGGTTTTGGCAAAAATATTGCACTTCTTTTGATTAATTACAGCTCAATTAAGATAGCTATATAAGTGACTTCATTAGCAGTGTCTCAAGCATATTTTGACAATTGACTCAAGCAATTCACTGACCAGGTGCAGTCCATTATTTACTAGACAAACAAAACAGATTAAAAGTCTGAAGCTGGTAACAGGTGTTGACCGAGCGCTCCTAATATGAAGTACAATATCTCAATCCGACTGAATGTAATTGTAAGTTTCTGTCACATCTTGATCATGTTATTTGAAGAACATTGTTGTAGTCTCGGAAGGGGAAAAAAAGCAACCCGGGGACTAGTTCAAGTTGTTGCTAATAGATGAGTTGAAAATATATTAAGTGTGGCCATTTCCATTACAGCATGTCTACAGTGGAGATGACTGCACATTCAGGGAGCAAATCATGTCGGATGGATACAGCATCTACATCTCTGTCAGACACGGAGTACTTCTTAGTTTGGGAAACCATCGGCGGCGGCTTCAAGGCAGAGACAGTGGTGTCCCAGCTTTGGCTCAGTTCCTGCCTCGAATCAGTACTGTGGATCAGTCATCCACTCCAGCACTGCAGCCCTTGTTTCAACCAACCCAGGACGCATCACAAACGGAGAAACCACTTGACATGGTGGAATCTTTTGGTGTTCTTGCACGGATCATTCACAGCCCCAGTTTTCATAAGCGATGACGAGACAGCATTGAGACGCCAATAAACAAAGAGTGTCTGCTCAATGCCTGTGATCCGCAGGCATGCCCGCGGGAAGATTATTCTCAGCTCATAGTCAGATCAGTCAAGTCCAATCTGACCAAACAGACTCTAACAGATGTAAAAATCAAAACATATCAATGGAATGGATGTCTGCCCCTAACTTGGCTGAGATAGGTTGGAGCTTTCCCTGTGATCTGAAAAGGATCAATGGTGGAGAAATGGATGGAGTACGTATTAACTGGAAAAAGTTTTTGCCTTAGCATTCATCCCTGAAATGTGAGGATTGAAAATGCTAAAGATATGAAGTCAAGACAACTAGTGACTACTTGTATGGCTCGATACTGCATCAATAGGATAGCCGGACATAGCTCATGTCAGGGTGTCATTCCTGAGCCACTTACCTGAGCTACTTCTGGAGATAAGAATGCAGATACCACCACACTACAAATGGTGAGGGCACTGTGAAAATGTAAAACTGTCCTGCGATGGGCGAGAGGGGAGGGCAGTGGGCTGTGGCCAACCCAAAAGTTGAAAAAAAAATCCATTCCTTTAGAGATCCTTTTCACCCATTGTCAGTCTTGTTTACTCAACTTGGAGTTAAACTCTGATGACTGTGTTCTCTTTTTTGTAGTTATTTATTTATGTATTTATTTTGGATCAGTGAAGTAAGATCACAACCCGCATTTCATCAAATGACCCAAATGTTCTCCCGAGCGCAGTGATTCCCAACCATCGCACCATAGCACACTGGTGTACCATGAGAGATCATTTTGTCTGCCACACAAAATGATCCAAGCACCGATCTCAAGCTTTTTTTGCTAGCAACATGCTGAGAGCTAAAATAGAGCAAGTTCTCGAATAATTGAGCTCCAATACGCTGGCGTTGCCTGCATACGGAAATTAGAGTTACCTCTGTAGAAATGTTTCAAACTGAACTTCAGATACAGTGTTCCCTCCTTACTTCACAGTTCGGTTATTGCGGCTTCACTTTATTGCGGGGTTTTCATCTATGACCATAACTTCATCTATTGCAATTCTCCTTCACTATTTTGCTGTTTTTCTTCCTTCTAAGACAGACAAGTTAAAAAAAAAAAAAAGTGACCATGAACATTGGCGCTCATTGCCCCCCAAATTCCATTTCCCTCATCGTGGTTGCATTTGGAAATACACTCTGAGCGCACTCCTTCGTGAGCCTGAACTGGAGCCAAGTGCGTCAGGCAGAAGAGATGGAATCGTTTCACACGCAAGCTGCTGATTACAGGTTGCGTTCAGAAATGAAAGTGAGTGGAGCGCGCACTGTCTTCCTGCAGCGCACAAGGACAATGCAACGTCTGCCCCGGATGTTAAGATCTTTCTTTTTAGTTTAAGGTGGTTTCAGATGAACTCATCCCTTGTGCTTTGGATCAGGAACTTTCTCTCCTGCTGGCCACCAAGGGTCTGTGTTTGGGGGAGCATGTCCGATATGCTCACTGAAAGCACTGTGTGATCTTTCCTCAGTGTTATTCTCACTTTTTACAAAATAATTGTTTAAATATGTGGATGACATGGCCTTAATTGGCCCTCTTTAATAAGTAGACACTGTAGGTTTGAGGTCTCCAAACTACGGCATGTGGGCCGAAAGTGGCCCACCTCTGCATTTTGCCTGGCCCATGAACAATAAAATGCAGACATGCATTTTTCTCCAAGTCTGGCCACCTCATCAAGACTTGTACATGCATAGAAAGTAACATTCTATTCCAACCTTCTGCAGTCTGTGGCATATCCGAAACCCCTCCCTAAAAAAAAGAAAATAAAATCCACGATGCACCTGTGTCAAATAAAAAATTGACGACTGACAAAAAGATTAGGTAAGAGAAAAATGATTGGTTATTCATGAATTGTGCCTGTCAAGAGCCCAGAAAGGGTTAATCTCTGGCTCTGTGCGGCTTTTTGGAAAACAATAAATGTTGACGTCTAGACACCTCCTGCGATTGTCACACTTTTTGTTACAAACTGAACCGGCGCCGTCAGAGAAGGGAAAAGTTATTTGGCCCTCACAGGAAAAGGTTTGGGGACCCCTGCTGTTGGTGAAGCAGCCTAGCTGGCTTATACTCAAACATGATGTCATGCTAGTTGTCTAGAAATGCACAAGGCTAAAACAAAAAAGCTAGATATCTGTACAAAACCAGATTTGGAGACAAAACAAGTATTTTCTTTGATGGTTAAAACTGAATAACTTTAAATACTTTGGGACATTTTCAATTTGAGCTCTGGAAACAGAGATTATGTTTAAGAGATGCTCACAGTGCCTTGGAGTCAGCGGACAGATTCTGGAGCTTGTTTATAAAACTATGGTGGAAAGTGTTTTCACCTTTCAACTTCTTGCTTAGTACGGTCACCTAAATTGTAGACTTAATAATAAACTTTCGAGGATTGTGCAAGATAATTGGCAAACCTCAAAAGCCTTTAATTCCGCTTTTCATTGAGAGGATGAGGAAAAAGGCGAGGAGCATCCTGTCAGATCGCTCTCATCCTCGATCCAGCCAGTTTGAGCCTTTACACTCTGGGTAGCGCAACAGAGCTCTTCTCCAAGACTGTATGAAGAAATCCTTTGCATCTCGTGCTATTAGTGTTCTCTGCAAAGTGACACAGCCAACGCATGAAATGCTCTGAATAATTAATAGTCAATGTTGTATCCAATTTAATTAGTGTGCATTTTATTTGGGTTTTTTTCCCTTTCTTCTCATTTTATTTTCTCCTTTATTTTTATTGTGTTTGGTGAGCCAGGGAGAATTTTCCACCCCAACAGTGGTGGACAAGGACAATAAAGATTTATTCTGTTCTGTTCTACCTTAAACCAGAATCCTGTGTCACATTGTGACCAAAGGTACAATCCTGATGGCTTGATGCACTTTATGGCACAGTGAGTTCTTGTGGTAGTCCCCGTTCTTCTTCTTCTTCTAAATGGAAGCTGGAGGAGAAGAACTTCCACCAGAAGTAAAAAAATTTACAGCGCCGGCCTTTATTCTTCATTTTGCATTTTAAAAGGTAAATGTAGTTCGTGTAAAAACTGTTTAGAATGGTGGAAACTGTTTGTGCGGATTGTTCATCATGGCTAAATAATATCTACAAAATCGAACCTAAAATATGTGCCTTAATTGGCTCAGTAAAAGATTGGAAACACCGCTCTTGAGAAATATGGAAATATGAATGGAGACTTTGAAAGGGCCATCGTATTCAAAGACCTCACTGCAGAGGAGGACAAACTGAGGACATTTTCTTGGATTGCCCCTACATTTATGGCTGAGATGCCCTTTAGCAAGGCACCTAGCTTTATAAAGTGCATCTGGAATGCTGGGGTGTCCCTGAGGGTGCATGCTCACAATGTTTACTTGATGGTTAAAACATTATTATATTCATGTGCCTATGCATTTATCAATAAAAATCGATTGGTGTTGCATTCTGCAGAGTGATCATGCATTTTATTCATCGACAGTAAATATTGGATTTCCGTGAAGTCATCAAGGGACTCAAAAAGAAAGATGTGCAAGCAAATTGCATGTATCCGGCGAAGCTGAAACTCACAATGAACTCCACTGATAAGATCTTCCTCACACTCTCGAGAGTGCCATGCTGAAGGAACTGGGAAATGAGTTGGGCTGTGGAGAGAGGGAAATCATCAAAGGGAAGTTGAACGAAATGATGGCATAGCAATCCAAAGAGGAAGAGGGACGGGGCAATGTCAACAGCAGACCTCAAAGCATTTCTACACAGTGAAGACTGAACCACCTCTAAGTTCCAAGGTAGCTTAAAACCCCATTAAAATGTTATAGAATTTACAGTACGGGTCTGACAAAGTTTTTCTTAATGTTGTCCACAAAGAAGAGACAGAGAATAATTATGCCACTGGTGTTAAGACAAGCATTGTTGTGACTTTGAATTTATATGCTGCTAAAAGGTCCCTGTAATAGGGCAAACACGAGCACTTAATTTATAGTTCTGGCCTCAAAAATGATGTCTGCAGTAAAAATCGAGTCCAGCCCCCTCTCCAAAAAAAGGGATTAAGTTGTGATCCTACATTTGTTTCCTGGGCTTTTAGCTGATTTTGCTACACCCACTTTTAGGTCGTAAATGTGTTAGCTTGTCTGACGTCAACGCGAGAATGATGCCATCCAATTACAGTACTATTGTTTCGTTACTGGGTGTTATTTCCTTGTGAAACAAAACAAATGGGGTGGCCCAACCGAGGGGAGTGTAATTTTCAGTGATGAATTCTGTGATTCTGACTTCAAAGTACAAGGGTATTGATCGGAGTTTAGAATGGCACGGCTTACTTTCACCAGCATAGTTTTTGGTCCCACTGGTGGCTGTAATGAATCTGTTTTTGTTTGTCTCCAGCAGTTGGCAGAGGAGGGCCGGCGCTCCAGCCTGAATGCCTGTTACCAATCAGTCATGTTTTCTAGGACTTCCAAGATGCCAAATCTCGCTCAGATTATTCCTCACCTTGACGTTGTGTCCAAGTGTTGAATTCTCTAGACCAGTGGTGTAAAACTCCGGTCCTGGAGGATCGGCATCCTGAGACCTGAAGCGGAGGGATGGGACGCACTTTTGCAGCGTGCTAACGATCGTATCTTATGTGTACCGTGATAAAATGCTTCTCTTTGCGCTCCAGATTCCCATTCTTTGCCAGTGCCCTCTGTGAATTGTACATGAAACAAGCTCTGAATCAGAATAATAACAATAAAAGATACAGCATTGACAGCAAGCTGCAATTCCAGACCGCTGACTGCTAACAACAGAACACATGACGGATGAGCAACTGAGCAGTCTTTAATGACAATAGAATCTTGGGTAGAGCCGAGAAATGGGCCAGTTTGGAAAATCGTCTACCATGGTAAGGATGACTGATTTCCCTTGGGAAATGGGTAAGCCGGTAAAAAAATAATAATAATAATAATAATAAAAATATGTGTGACCAAGGACGAGAAGGTACAAGCAACTGCCGAAGTAACCCGGAGGGCAGTGTGAAGTCTTGTCACAAGCACAGGCCGAGCAGGCTCCAACAAAGGTCTTAATATCCTTATTGAGGTCGGCCCACCAGAACGGTTGATTTAATAGGGCTAATGTATGGTTAACTCCAATATGGCAGGCCACTTTAGAAGCATACCCCCACTGGAACACCTCAGATCAAAATGCACAGGTACAAACGGCCTTCGGGATAATCCTCTGGAACAAGGTTTTCTGTTAAAGCTATTATCCTCTGCTCAATCTCCAAAAGAAGCATTCCAATAATCAGTGGCGGACCCTGAGGGCCAGCAAGGCCTTCTCTGCTGGCCTAAACATTCTCAGAAAAGTAAATTTACTTTTATGTATTTTATGTTATTTTATAATTTATGTTATTTTATTTTCATAAATCTGTAAACAAAATTATTCTCTGTATTCTTTACGTTGTATTATTTCCACTTAGTTGAGTGGCTTTCAATGTT